AATGAGATATAGCATTTAAAGTTCTTGGCACAGGGCCTGACGCTTCGTTAGGGCCAAATAAATGTTAACTAGTACTATCATCATCATCATTCTGTACTTTTCAAGATGTTTTTCACACTTTATAAATGGAGCCCCTCTGATTAATTTGTTTATTCAGAGGAAAAAAATTACACAAAAATTTGGATCATTTTAAATGAAGACCTTTTTCTTCTCAAAGGTGTTATATAAGCAGCATATGTGTGACATCTTTGAAATTTATGATGTTTTCACTGTGTATACAAAAGAACCCAAAACACTGACACTTACTTCTTCAAAGTCCCATAAATTTATTTTCACACGACATGTGAAATATTTATGCTGCTTTACTTTCATCACCAAAATCAATAAGCCATTTAAAAGAATTGGTCAAGGTCAGACAGCAGGCTTCCAACTACAGTGGAGGGTTATCAAACCTGCTTAGAATGCAATGATTCTAGTCCAGATCTCATTCAGTATCATTTGGTGAATCTTACATCAAGTCTCAGATTAAAGTCACTTTTTTAAAAAGTATTTGTGAGAACACAAATTGTTTGCTACACTCCAAAAGGCCAGGCGGGTTCGCCCTAATTGAACTGCAAGGCTTCAGAGGGTGGCTGAAATGAACAGAAGTGCATCCTATATGTGTAGAATTGAGAGGCTGGGCTGGTTCAGCAGATGGTAAGAAGGGTCCCATACAGAATGAGCTAAAGTCCACAAAATTGTGACACATTTTAGTAGACAGAGTACCATGGAGACATATCTAACAATTAGAGGGGAGAGTTTCAATGACCGACCTTGAATAGCCAAAAATGACCCTACAGGGGGGAAAAAAAAAAAATCGGTAACCAAGGAAAGGTTAGAATATGATAGAGTTGATTTTTCAAGCTGAGTGCAGGCGATACCATACAGACTGTAGGAACTATATGCCAGCCAACAGCAAGGAACTTAAAACTGAAACTGAGACAACATTCTGAGGATAATCGAATGAAATTCAATGGGTTTTTTGAAAAAAAAATGGATTTGAAGAAGAAAAACAAAAATCCTGCGAGAAAACAGTGGTTATCACTAGATAATAAGTAGGGATAGTTTTTATATATTTATTTATATATTTATTATTTTCCTATACTCTACTTTCTAAATTTTCTATAATAAAAATATCACTTTTATTTTTAATTACAAGATTTTTTTCAACAAAATGGGTAAGATGGCTATCCAATTGTAGAAATGGGACAATCTAAGATAGTATCTGTAGCTACATAAATCTCCCCCATTAGACTGAAGACCCTCCTGGATGAGACCTTATTTCGGTGTTCCTTGGAACCCCAGTGTCTAACACAAGGCCTAAACTAGAAGCTGCAGGTATTAAGAAGTGGTTAGCAAGCAAATTTTGATTATGGCCAGAATCCCAAACAAGATGACCTCTGGTATAATATCAGGAAGGAAATTAAGGAAATACAAAAGGAAATTAAGCAGCAGGGCTTTCCCTCAAGCATCTGACCAGGGCTTACCTGGGCAGCCTCCTTTCCAAAAAGGTCCCCTTATGGGGCACATGCCAATCATCCTGATAGCTACATTAGCCCACATTACAGCTTACTGTCTGTCCCTTGCTATTAAAATCTTCCAGTAAGTACTTTGTCCTCCCTCACCTAGCTCCCTCCTTTTAGCACTGCCTATGAATTGAGTCATGCTGTTCTGCCCAGATCTTGCTTTGCTGGAACCTCAGGGGACCACCACTATGATGTCCCACTTATGTTTCTTGTAGAGATATCTAGCCCACTCCAATACTTTAAGAGAACCATCGGAAAAGCTCATCTCAGGTCTCAGTACCATTAACATAAGTCTTCTTCCAGCAAGTAATACATTTTAAGTTTATGAACACTAGGAATCTTATAATTGATCTTCTCTCTCTCTCCTTGAAGCTGAGAGCCAAAACTACAGCCGTTCTTTAAGAATTCTGCAGGACCTTACCATGTGTGTGTCTAAAAACTATCTTTCCTCTGGCTTCCTCTTACTATTCTTCCCTCCCTCTACACAACCCTGCTTTCTTTATCTTTTTTTTTTTCCTCTCATTTGGGATGAGGCAGGGTATAAATAAACCAAGAAACCAAAAATTAAATACACCTCCCTACCCCCAATTCCAAGCTTGCATCAGACATTTTCACCCATGTAGCCTGCCTGCAGGACAAGAGAGTAAAGCTCAGTACCACGCTCCTTGCTTCTACCAACCAGGCAGTAACTTTTATGTGCGTTTGTGACAATAAAGTCTGACAGAAGGCCAGAGGCACTTTCCTTTCTACTTCTTGCCCACCAGCTCTAAAACACACAAGACCATGTGAATGGTGCACTGTGGTTTAAGGCTTTATAGTTAAGAACCCAAACTCTGGAGCTAGACTACCTGGGTTCCAATGCTACCCGCTCCTCCCCATCCAGCTGCTGACCTTGGGTAGGTTATTCAATCTTTCTGAGCCTTGCTTTCATTTCCCCACCTGTGCAATGGGAACAATAATAGTACTCACCTCACAGGGTTGTTGTAAGAAGTAAACGAGTTAATGGATTTAAAGTGATTAGACCAGGACCCGGCACACAGTAAATGTGGGCCAGGACTATAATAGGACAGTTCTGTTTTCAGTTAAACCAGGCCACACAAAGTTTCAAGTTTGACTGAAAGTAGTATTTCTCACTGTAAATTAGTAAATTGACAAGCCGATTTCTATGGTGACCTTGAGTTTGAATGTCATTTACAAATGAGTGTAGAATCAAAGCTCTCTCTAAACAGCAGTCATTTTCAACCATTTGCTTTCTGATTTGCTGAAGAGACGGAGAAAGCTGTAGTGTCAGACAACAAAAATGGTTCCTGAGAGTTTATACCCAGCTGGTAACACTATGATCCTTAATCACACCCATGTGTGCATGAGTACTCACGTACACACTCGTGCACACACACTGTCCATATCCCTCCAGCTGTAGCACAGACATCACTTAATGTCTAGAGAGATGAAAAACCTCATGACATTCTTATTGTTATTGGCTATCAAAGAACAACTCTGCTTGCGGGATACTTGAGGTCCTGATTTACATCTGAGTTTTGAAAGGGGCCATCACCTACATACTTACTGAAAATGCAAATTGCTCATCAGATTCCACAAGTAAAGAAGCACAGAGCCCAATTCTAACCACGCCCCATCTTTGCTTACAGCAGAGCCAAAGTCCCAGCAATTTCCTCCACATCCAGCCCACGAAAATTTAAGTCCTCAGTGAAAAACTATTCCATATATGTGAGTATGTACATAATTTTCAAATAAAATGACTTGAAACTGAGAATGTATAAAGGCAAAGAAAGAAAACTGAATAATCATTAAAGTTGTAGTGCTTGACTAAAGTTTAGAAAAATCAAGAAAAAAAAATCACCAAGGTTACTTCGACATTTGATGTAAATGGATAAATTTCAGCTTTGCTGTACTAAAAGTTACATGAAGTTGGAAGAAAAAAACCTGAGAGTGTGTCAGAGCTATTTATTTTCCATTCCCTACGTTTCCCCTAATAGCCTACTAAAAGAACGCACGAAAGGGTTTGTTACAGTATTTAATTGAAATACGTCAGTTCCCTTTAAATTTTCGTGTCTCCCTATCACCAAAAATATTCTAAGAATAGAGTAAAAAATGAACCAAGACTATCGGCCAAGAAAACGGCTTTGGGGAACTTAGTAATCGCACCGTCTCCAGTTTAGCAGGCGAAATTCACTAGAAGAGTGGAGTGGAGGCACAGGACTGCGTAATAAAGTAACACTTCCGAATACAAATAGCCGAGATTACTCTGCCGCAGCCTAGATTCTTCTCGCTACGAAGTCTAGCACAGAGTTTTCTAAACGCTTTTCCCAAGATCCCGAGGTCAATTTCAAACGCTGTTCCTCTTAAAAGTCCCAAAGGAGACTTGCTCACCCACCCCACCCTGCAAGCAGCGCACTTCCCGTTTGCTCTGGCCGGTCAAGAACTCTAACTTGACAGACACACACTGGAAAAAAAAAAAGAAAAAAAAAAAAGAGGAAGTGGCTAAAAGGCATTTCAAGGCATTTATTTAATTTCTTTTTTAAAGGGAGATCAATGGCCCCGGCCCTGTCTTCCAGGAAAGCTTCAATGGGACGTAGCCATGACACCGGCTTGAAAGTTGCAGTGAAATGTCAGTGTGGCAAAACTGAGGGCGACTCCTCTTTAAAAATAAACTTTTTAAAAAATCCTCGAAATCCTCTTGCTATCCCAAACAATCCTCTTCCCTTTAGCGAACGCAACAAAGCTAACAACTCCCATTCTGGTGGGTCGGATATGGAGAGCGTGGCTCCGGGGCTGGGTACGTGCCTGGTCCGCCCTGCCAAGTGGCACAGGAAGCGCAGGGCACCGAGGCGGTCAGGGGACCCGGCGAGCACCTCCCTTACCTGGTTTGACCGGTTTGGGTGGCGGCTTCGACATCTCGCTTCCTGGAGCGGTTGATCCTAAAGACCACGCACGAAAAGTCAACCAGACGCCCCGCCAACCGGCACTCCCGGCGCCCCAAAGTTTCTTTTTGTCTGATTTGCAGTGGTGCGCCTTCAGGGACCCGCGCCCACCCTTGGCTGCCGGATCAGTGGACGCAACCAGAGCGGCTCGCCGCAGTCCCCGCCCTACCCCGCAGCAGCCCGAGCTGTCCCAGGCGCGCGACCGGGCCCACGAGGAAGTGGCCGCCGCTCCGCCCGGCGTTAATTGGCTCCTCGGCTGGCAGCTGCTGCGCGGCGGGAGCGCGGGCGGCGCGCACGCCGGCGCGCGCGCAGCGGCGGAACAAGCCGAAGCCGAACCAGGACGCCGCCGGCTCGCACCGGGGCAGGCCGGCCGCGCGCGCCCCCGACAAGGAAGGGCCAGACTCTGCAGGGATGCGCGCGGGGTCGCGCTCACCGGAGCTCCGCCCCGCCCAACCGGGGCTGGAGTTGGGCGTTGCGGCCCCCCTGGGTGAGCCGGTTTGGCGGCCTCTACCTAGACCGCCTCTGACCTGGGAGGGACGCAGGGGATTGGGCGGTGGGCCCCTAGGATAGCGAGCTGCGGGGTTGCGGCGGGTTAGTGACAGGCGCGCGCTTGGCCATCGCCTCTGCTTCTTTGCTTGGGAGGACCCGGTGAGTACCTGCCCGAGCCCGCTGCGCAGCCTCGCTGGGGCTTGGAGGTGTATCCAGTGTTAACTGCCCTGGATCCCGAACCTGGTTGTGTCTTGCCTGTCGGGTTGGGACACTTTTATCATCCTAAACGGGCTGATACGGGCCTGCCAAGAAGGGTGTGTACTCGTACTCGTGTTGCTTAGTGCTTTAATGTTCCGCGATAGTCTTTAAAATGGGGGAGTCTGCCTCCTAGAGATCGTACAGATTGTGGGGAGAAGTCACCAAGGACAGGGTCAGGTCTTGATCCCCACGGGAAAGGCCTTTTATTCCCCTAGCATTGGAGTTGACTAACTATGCGCGCCGCCCCCCCACCCCCGCCTCCTGTTGTACGGCTTGCTAACCAAGAATGATTTTTACACTTTTATATGGCTGAAAATAAAAGAATATTGTGTGGCATGTGAAAAATTATATAAAATGCAAATTTCAGTGTCCGCAAAGTTTTATTGGAACACGCTCATTTGTTTATGCATTGTCTGTGGCCGCTTTCACTTCATAGCAGCAGAGTGAAACAGCCGCTGGCAAAATGGAAAACATTTTCTACCTGGCACTTTACAGAAGTTTGCCGTCCCCTAACCTAGCAGATTGAATCTACGATGGGAGCCTACTATTGGGTTGTTGGAAAAGTCATGACGTATTTTTTCTGTTTTTAGTTGCAAAAATGCGTCATGACTTCCCCGACAACCCAATAGAAATGCAGAGTTCATAAGTTCAAAATAACACAGTCAATATTATAAACCAGTTGTATGTTTGGGGGAAGAAAATTTGAAAAGAAAAAACTTTGTATATGAGAGTCTACATAAAATGAAGCTTCAAAGTTTCTACTAGGGGTTAGTGAAAGATTGACTGATTCCAAGGGAAAGGGGCATAGTTCACATATTCAGAAAGGTTAGCTTTGGGAGAGTTCTGTTTACCAAAAGTGAGCAAAGTTTCAACAACGGTAGGAAAAGACTTGCCTGTCTGCGTGGAAGAAGATAATCAAAATAACAATTGAATAAAATAAATGAATGAGAAGTCCTGAAAACATTTCACTCTGAAAAATATCAAACTGCTCTTTCCATGTGTTGAAAAACAGAACATTTCATTAACATGTTGTCATCTGTCTTTGAGAACATTTGTATTAGGGAGTTGCTGTTTCCTTATAATCTGCTGATTCTGCACATGCCACCTTGACCATTTTGCAGTTTAGAATCCAAAATATACCAAGCTTAGTAGTGAAATAAATGAAATGTAATAAACACATACCAGCTGTTAAAAAAAAAAAGACTCAACAACATATTTTACTTAGGGGGAAAAAAAGTATTTAAAATCATTAAAATTACTCACTTTGGGTTTGCTCTTGGATACCTTAATCTGTTCTCCCCCTATGCAAGTGTTCTGTGCTGTTTAGGAAAGATTTGCACTAATTGGGAGAATAAAGTACATAAATATCCCATGAGATTGGGAGTGGTAATACTAGTATTTACCTGGGATGCCCTGGATTATGAGGCTGGAATGTCCAAACGGTTGTCTCTCTGGGGACATTCAGTGATTAAAGTGCTCATATGTGGTTGGTCAAACTTGTGTTTGCTTCATGGAGTATGCTGCTGCATATATTTGGAGTCTGGCAACTCTTGATTGCAAGTTTTTTAAATGTGATTTTAAAATAGTTCTTAGAGTAGCAGGCAATGAAATAACAGAAGGTGTGTGAAGGTGGACAGTGCCAGGCCTGAACTTAGTGTTCACCTGAAGCTGCCCCATGCATCCAATTCTGCTTTTTAAATAAATGGCCTCTGCGATTGTTACACCCACTCCTACCCCCGGCCACTCATCCCAGCCACAGTTTTTGCTTCTGCTTCTTGCAGTTCCCCACCCCTCCCACCACATTGTCACCTGTTGGTTGCTAATGAACTGTGCCCCACATTTATTCAAACACTGTCTTGGACAGGCCAAGACTGCTAACTAATATAGAACTGAGGGTGCCTGTTTTGGTAAAAAACTTGTATTTGACTGTGGGAGTTCTTTCCTGAGCCCAAGGGATTTTATAAGTAGGTTCTTCACCTTCCCTCACTCCTGGTTTCTTCTACCCAAATAATCCCCTCAAGCCTATTTCCAGTGTCACAACCACACTCACTTGTTATTTACATGCTATGTAATTGATACAGTATCCTCACGTGTTTGCACAGATGTGACAAGAAGCACAGGGGACCAGTAGTCTTTGCCATTCAGTGTGCACAACAAATATGCACCCATCAATAATACATCACTAAAAGGATATCAATTACTCATGGGAACCTCACAAGCCAGCACACGTGCAACATCCTTTCTTTGCTCTTGGTAATAAAGTGCTTTTGAGCAGCTTGGAAAGAGACAAGAGGTTAATTTGCTTAGTCTAGTTTCATTTCTGGCTTTTCCAAAACTTACTAACTGTGTGACCTTGGGCAAGACACTCCATTTTCTGGGCCAGTTTCAACTTCTGCAAAATGAAGGGGTGGACTAAGTGACCTCTAAGGCTATACTCCTCTGGGTTTGAGAGTTTAATACTCTAACAAACTATCCAAAAATAAGTGAGGTGGGGCAAGGAGGGACAAAGTTTTATGTTTTGCCAAGTGAGGACTTCAACCAAGTACTATGTACTGCCAACATGATTTCATAGGAGAGAGGACATTTATCACCCAAAAGATAGGAAAGATACCATCTCAGGATAAAGGGTAGTCTTTCTCACCCCAAAAGAGGATAGTTGGCAGCCTTGCACTGACTTACTAAAAGTAAGAATAGTGTGAAATAAAATTCAAAAATAGAAAAATTATAAAAATTAATTTTACAATATTCATTGTATGCAATTGTTCCTGTAATACATTTTGGCAATTTAGGTGGAGATAATATATTCAAAAAAGCAACTCAGATGTCCAATTTGTTCTGTTATTTTATTATTTTTTAAATTAAATTTAATTTTTTTTTAAGATTTTATTGGGGAATTGGGGGAGGGGAGCAGTATTGGGGAATCGGGGAAGGGGAACAGACAAGTTGCTGTCCTTTTTGTTCTTCAGTCTAGTTGTGGAGGACGTCACTTCACTGGCTCATGTTGGTATTATCATTGCGCTCTTCCCGGGTGAGGCAGTCGCTCTCCGGCCATTGGATGGCCGCTCATCACGGCGGCTCACAACTGCTGATGGCAACTTCGCTGGTTGCCGGCCGCTAGCAGCTCATGCTGGCTGCTGGTCACCCATGATAGCTCATAGCAGCCCACTGCAACCCCACTGCAGCCTGTGCCATTGCCGGCGACTCACAGCAGCCCAGCTCCAGGTCGAGCTGTTGTTCACCATCTTAGCTGTAGAGGGCACAGTGTCACTGGCCCATGTGGAAACCAAACTGGCGGCCCTGCTGCTCAGAGCTCGCACTCCCAAGCCAACTTTTAACCAACTGAGCCACTTCGCCGGCCCTGTTCTGTTATTTTATTTTTGTCGTAGTGATTATTGAGTTCTTGTCTCATATAGACTTGTTAATGAAAGTGGAACTGAACCTTAAGCAGTTGCACTTAATATGGAATATTCTGGATAAATTGAGAAGCCAAGGAACAACAGCTTTCTCTCCACCAGGCTCTTTTCCCCACAACCTCCCCCCAGGAGGAGTCTGGACAGAGGTCAGGGGTAGGAATTGGGAGGGCCGCTGGGAGCCTCTCACCCCAGGCAGTCACACAGCTTAGGTCCCTGATCACCCAACTAGAGCAGCCTAATCAGAGGCAACTCTCAGGAACCACTATTCTAAGTTTCCCTCCAGCTGAGCTTCACCTTTTCACTTAAGAGGTGAAAATGGCCCATTGGAATATCCACAGGACTGCTTGGTGAACCTTAGAGGTCCATGTGTGAAGCTGCCCTCCACCCCTTATACCAGGGGTCAACAGCCTGTGGCTGAAACCTGGCGCTTTGCCTGAACTCTAGGCAATCACTTTCCTGATAGGGAAACAAATCCAGTTAGGGAAATATTACCCCAATAAAAAAGGAATTCCATTCTTCTCATTAGTAGATACATAGTACAAAAAAAAAAAGTACTAAATCATATTTTGGCTTTCATCAAAAAAATTGTGAAAATGTGTTTCTTGTTATATAAATACCCACATAATAACCTTGATTTTGTCTCTTCGCCTGCAAAGCCTCCAATATTTACTACTTGTTCCATTTCTGAAAAAGTTTGTCTACCCTGACCCTAGACCTAGGCTTTGGGGTGAGGAAATAACACCCTTAAAGGGGTGATAGCTTCCTTTTGCCTATGGCCAGCAGTTACTTCCTCCCCATTTCAGAAGGGAGAGGAGTTCAGCAGTTTCCCTCTGTAGGGGTCAGGGGTCATCTCCAAGTGATTTGAGTCATGCAGGTGACAGGTGACCTGGCTGAGTGGAGTATGAATCTCTGTAGTGTGCTCTGCAACCTAGCAACTCTTCCACAACCTTGAAAACAGACCTTCAAGGATATATGCTTTGCCAAGGGTACCCTTTCAGTTTACTTGATTTGGGCTTACAGGCCCTGAGCAGGCACCATCTGTTGGCACTTAGCAGGAGAGAGTGGCAGAGAGAAGCCAGTACAGGCATACCTCGTTCTATTGTGCTTCACGGATACTCCACCAACAAAAAGACTATGACTCCCTTATTGCGAGGTGGCCTGGAACTGAATTCACAATATTTCCGAGGCATGCCTGCACAGTGTGAAGCTCTTCCATGGAATGTGGATAATCCAGTGGTGGGGTAACTCAGACATCACAGCCATCCTTCCTCCTCAGCTGACCCTTCTAATTTAGGACTCGGACCTCTTTCGACATCTGAATGACAAGCATTCGATGTTTTTCTTTTTAATTTTAGGAAGGCGTGATTTTCCAAGCTAATTATGAACACATTTGTCATTGGAATTGGTGGGTGAGTAATTTTGCTACAAATTGCTGACCAAGACACTCAGGATACCCAAACGGTGTTTTCAAGTGGACATGGTCGGGGGGAAGGAGATGCAGTGAGGGATTCCTGAATCCTGAAGAAGAGATAAGGCCACTATCAAATGTAAAAACAGTGGAGTTCTGGCTACATAAATGCCAACAGTAGATGGGAGAGTTTCCTTATAAACAGAGAAACAGGAGAGTCACTAAGCAAAGTTTGCCTACTTTATCATTTATTTTCTGGAACTGACACCAGAGGCAAGGCCTGATCAGATGCTAGCTACTTTGGTTCAGGATGGTTTCATTCTCCATATGGCTGTTTCCCTCAGTGTGACATAGGAGGAAATCTATCAATTCTTTCCTGATTTGCCCAGCTTTGGACATAAGGAAAATGGAACCACCTCACCTGACTGGTGTGATAAGCTAAAATGGCCCTCCCACCTAGCCCCAAAGTGGAGAGAGATTAGGGGAAAGGAAACATACAGAGGAGATGTAAACTCATGATAGGTAGGCTTGTCATAACCCCTCTTCCATTTTCTTCCACTGTGCATTGAAACAAAACCACAATGACCATATGCAGTTTTATATACTTGCACTAAAATGTGCTACTCATATTCTGTGTTGTATATTAACCCTATAAATATTTTGCCTAGACAAAACATTCCTTTGTTTCCAACTCAATAGTGGTATTAAACCTTGATAGTATCCAGTTGACTTGCCCAGTAGTTACCTTTCTCCTCTATCCTTCCCAGCCTATTTCTTACCATGTATTACATTCTGTCTACTTATGCCTATGGTTTTACCAACAGAAAAAACATCTGTAAAAGAAATAATTTATTCTTAGATATTCCATATTGTTTTAAATATCCTTTTTCTAAGGTGATTTTTAAATGTTTTATGTTTTTTATTGCATCTTTCTGTATTTTCAATTTTTATTTCCTTTTTTTTTGGTTCAGTGTGACTAATGGTGGGAAGACAACACTGGCTAAGAATTTGCAGAAACACCTACCGAACTGCAGTGTCATATCTCAGGATGATTTCTTTAAGGTATCTATAAAACGTTTTAGATCACTTATTTAACACACAAAAAAAAATTTTAGTAGTAAAGTTAATTGAATTACTTCCAAAAAGCCTTTGCTGATACAGCTTTTGTGGTGAAGGTAGACCCAAAGCAATAGTGTTACTTATCCACTAGATGGCACCACTTATTGTCCTGTTCTTTGAGTTAATTATTCTCATCATCCAAAGTGTTTATTAAAGGCTTGTTACCTCTTCATTCTACAATTGTATTATTTTTGCACTGCACAGTTTTGATGGGTACTTTATTCTTTTTTCCAGCCAGAGTCTGAGATAGAAATAGATAAAAATGGATTTCTGCAGTATGATGGTAAGTAGATGAGCTTGTAAAACATGCACTAATGTTCATTTTCTTTTTCAAACCCAAATAACTTTGATATCTATGAAGACAGTGTCAAAGTGTGTTTAAATATATTACTATACGTTAAACCTGCCTTTGTAAAGGTTTCTCATTTATTTTTGTTCAGGTATCTAAAAAAAATGAAATCATTTTCCCAGTTTTCTATTTAAAACTGAAAACTTTGGAATAATACAGATTTTTCTTCTGAAGTTGAGGCAAAGTGGGCTCACTAGCACTCTAGTAATCCCTGCCTAGGGAATACATAACTAACTATACTCCCCTTCCTAACCCGCCAGCCTCACGTGGAGCAAACTCCAAGCACTCATCCTCTGAGCTTTCCTTCCTAGTGATCAAAGTGGTACTGGGCAGCTAGGGTATTTTTCCTTTTCTTTTCATTGCTCAAAAAGGGTAGTGAAGGGCCGGCCGAGTGGCACGTTGGTTGGGAGTTGGCTTGGGACACCAGCTCTGAGCAGCAGGGCTGCGGTTCGGATCCCCCATTGAGGGCCAGTGACGCTGCGCCCTCTACAGCTAAGATGGTGAACAACAGCTTGACCTGGAGCTGGGCTGCCCTGGGTTGTCGGTGACAGCCTGGGTTGCAGTGGAGCTGGCCGGCAGCTGGCATACGCTTTCGTGAGCTGCCGTGAGCCGCCATGGGCGGCCGTCCAATGGCCTGTGAGTGACTGCCTCATCCGGGAAGAGCACAATGATGGTGCCAACATGGGCCAGTGAAGCGAAGTCCTCCACAGCTAGACTGAGGAACAAGGGGACAGCGGATTGGCTGTTCCCCTTCCCCAATTCTCCAACACTGTTCCCGTCCCCCAATTCCCCAGTAAAATCTTTAAAAAAAAAAAAGATAGTGAATATTTTTTAGATGGATTTACCTCACTTCCTTGCCCAATCTAACACTGCTTTGAAGCCAAAGGATTAAAGTCCATCAAAAAAAAGTTTATTGTCCTATAAAGAATATCATGCTAATAAACTATGTTTAATAGTTTTACCAACTTTTATAATTAACAAGATGATCATTGAGATCTTATGCAAACCAGCAACTAAGAGAGTTCTTTTGAGGAGCCAGAAAATATGTTCTTTATTTTTAACTTTGATAACCTTGGAGGAAAAATGTTGTATGGTCAGTTCTTACAGACACTTCATAGTTTTGAGAGAGGCAAAATCCTTTGACTCACTGCCTGTTCTTGTGTCTTGGGCTGCAGCCAGGATATTTTTTCCTTCCCTTACCTTCCTCTAAAGGTTAGTAAGGAAGATGATTACATGCAAAGCATGTGCTTTACCACTGAGCTATATCCCCCAGCTGGGAAGATTATTACAAAGTAGGAGTTAAACAAGGAAAAGTTGTTTTCAACAATTGACAGAATTATTCCTAATTTAAATAAGTTCTGACAGACTGATAAGAAAAACACCAATATTCCAACTGAAAAATGTCCAAGGATGTGAACAAGCTATTCACAGAAGCAAAAGGTTATTTGATAATGTGCAATAAAAAGTCAACCTCAAAGGTAATCAAAGAATTGTAACTTACTTTTGTCCCCACTGATCAAGTAAACAGATTTTTAAAGCAATGATAATTATCTAATAATGGCACCGGCTCAACAAAACAAAAACTGTCACAGATGGGAGTATAATAAATTGGTACATTTCTAGAAAGGAGATTGAACATATGTCCCAAAGACTTAAACATTCATACCATGTGTTCAATGTCCTCTTCCAAGAATCTGAAAGAAAAATTCGAGGGGCGGCCAGTTAGCTCAGGTGCTTAGAGCACAGTGCTCATAACACCAAGGTTGCCGGTTTGATACCCGCATGGGCCAGTGAGCTATGCCCTCCACAACTAGATTGAAGACAACTTGACTTGGAGCTGATGAGTCCTGGAAAAACACACTGTTCCCCAATAAAGTTTTTTTAAAAAGGAAAAAAAGAAAAGAAAAATTTGAACTTTTTATGTAAATATACAAATTTAGGGTAAGTCTAGTTAATGTTGAACTCTTTATGATAACCACCAAAAGAAGAGTTTTAAAATATATAGCTATGAAGTCTGTAAGTAGATGGACTCATTAAAATATAGTTGATAAATACAAAATAAGTCAAGAAGTAAAAAACAGAGAACCTAACAAGTCAAAAGATGCTGGGACAATAGAAAACGATAGTAAGTTGATAGATTTAAACCAAATATATCAGTTACTACATTAAGTTAAATGAGCTAAAATACTCCAAATATTGTCAGACTGGATTTTTTTTTAAGTGCTAACTACAAGCTCCTTCTAAGAGATATATTTAAGTATTAGTACATAGAAAAGTCAACAGCAAAAGGCTAAAAAAAGATAGTATCTGTGCAAACACCTAATGAAAGAACACTGGTATAACTATATTAATATCAGACAAAGTAAACTTTAAGGCAAAGAGTATTACTAGAGATAAAGAGAGATAAATGGATCCATTCAACAGGAAGGTAAACAATCTAAAATTTGTATGCACCTAATAACATAACTTCAAAACATTGGGTTGTCGGAAAAGTCATGACGTATTTTTTTCTGTGTTTTTCATTGCAAAAATGCGTCATGACTTTTCTGACAGCCCAATACATTAAGCAAAAATTGACCACACTAAAAGGAGAAATAGACAAATCTACAATTATTGTGGGAGATTTCAATATAGCTTCCTAAATAACTAATGGAATAAACAGGCAAAAATTGTAAGGGTCCAACAGATCTGAAGAACACAATTAACAAAGCTGACTAAATGAACACATGTAGAACTGGCTCCCAGCAAGAGCAGAATACACATTTTTTTCCCCTCAGGATCCCTTGGGACGTTGACCAAAAGGAAAGGCACATACAAAGGCTTGGAGCAAGGACTAATAGGTTTCAATGGATTCAAGCAATACAGAGACATCCTCCCATCACAGAGAACTGAATTAGAAATCACTAACTAAAGAGGAAGTAG